GTAAAAAGCCGCCTTAGATGTTTCACGTAAGATTTAACTTTCAAGTCTTTTTTCACTGGTCTTTGAACTGTCATAGCTGAAAATCCTTTCTCGCGTGCCAAACGTCCTATGGATTGAGTTGGATCTTTTCTAATTGACCTCTTTCGCTCTAATTTGTAATGATTGTACCCGTCCTGCTGTGACGTCCCGATCTAGTTTCCTTCTCTAGTGTTGCCTCTTTTTAAAATTTATTCATCGTTCATTTGATGGTTCTTGAATGGACTTTGAAAAGGAAGCCATCATACACGAGATATAAAATTAGCGTATGTACTGCTGGCTCTTGCTACATATCTTTTTACTGTAGTCAAAAAGTGCAGCTGTATTAAAAAATAAACATGATTTTGATAAAACAGATATTTTACTTTACTATATCCAATTACAATGCATACAGTATTCACTTGTTAGTATAGTATAAAATACAAACTTATTGAAAATGATTTTTTTTCATTGTTTATGTTTATAACATCTTTAGCTGTTTCTCGTTTGGTTGTTTATGGTTGTACACCTTTATACAACTGTTGGATATCGGTTGAGGAAAGATCTTTGGTCTTACTTCTGCTGCATCACTGTGTCAGGGGATATCGGAATTGGTGATAGCATAAACAGGATATTCATCCATTGGCTAAAATAAACAGGACGTACAGGTGTTCTGAGCCTTGAATAAACAGGGCGCACAGGTGTTCTGAGCGGAAAGAAAATGCGTGCGGAAGAGGGCGTAGCTACGTGAAATTGCGTAGGTGGCCAAATGTTATAGAACCGGTCCGATTTTTTATCTGGACACAGAAGCTGACTAGAAATTTTGTCACCGTCAATTCCTGTGGGCGCAGTCCTATCCTCTTTGATTTTCCCTCATACTATCTATTCGGCGCAACTCGAACGATAAAGATATTTATATGTTTTGATGTATAAGTGTTCGTCGCATTATTTGAGCCCAGCAGCAATATACGACACAATGTGTATAGCGTTACTAACGATACTTTTATCCTTCGCTTTTACTATTTTAACTTATTTAAGGAGAAGATGAGTTAATGACATAGAAGAAAAGATGTTAGTCTATTGTAATTTAGTCTCTCAAAAAAAAAGGGACTCGCATGAAACTCGAGATACATAACTTTTTATGAGTGAAAATTTTGGGGTCGCACAGTACGCGAGATCGCGGGTTACACGAGTATATAGGTTAAATTAAAAACCGAGTATGTAAAAGAAAAGATGATCAGAATAAAATAAATTCGTTAGATCGATGTAGATAATATAGGTATTCTGGTGAAAGTGTCCGAAAATATAAGCTTAAGACGAGACGTACCGTATTTTCCGGCATACAAGACGCAATTTTTCCCTAAAAATACCTTGAAAATATGTGTGCGTCTTCCATGACGAATGTAAGGCAACACTCAGGCTCAAATAAGTTAGGACGGTCACCTTATTGGCTTGACTGATATAGACGTTGATTTGTATGTTGAGTCTTTACAGTATAACGTTAGCTATCTATCTAATTCATCTTTTTATATAATGTAACTTTAGTATGTAGCTGTTACAAGTATTTCCAAGATTATAAACCTTCCTGTAGCCGAGCCATAAGCTTACATATGCTCTGTTTACTAACAACGGTGGGAGCCTTTCTGCTCTTGACTAGTATGTCATTGCCATACAAACAAAATCGGACGAATGATTAATGTAAACAATACGTGGCAAGTATGTGAGGGACGCATGGCGAATGTGTTGTTTTATGAGAATTACTTTTTTTTTCTTAAAAATGCCTTTCTAATGTCAGGGTGCGTCTTCCAAGCTGCAGCTTTTTGTAAGCCGGAAAAAAAACGGTAGGCTTCGAGTTTTCTTCTGTTCTTTGATTTTGTGAGCTGTTATATTTCTGCATATGAAATAGACTAAATAGCATCCAAAAATAGCGTTTCAGAGCTCATCTGTTTTGCTAAATAATTCACTCAACAAGACTTCATGAGACTTCAACGTCGACCGAACAAGCCTGCTACTTCATCAAACAAAAGGCATTGAGACAGATTTTATGGCGTCTGGGTATGACAATAAACTACACACGCGTCCTGGGTAAAACTATAAACTACGACCGACCACAAGGTCCCTGATCAGGAGGTTTTTAGGAGCGTGGAACCACCTCTTAATTGCTGGTGTTCTCAGGACCACCATGACCCGGGGTGGTAGCACCTGTTAGGGTCCCAGCTATGGGCAAATAGCTAACACCCAAAATGGATTCAAAACGTGTAAAAAAATATTACCAGCAATAAAATTTTGAAGAAAAAAATATTACCAGGAATTCATTATTAACAGCAATACTTTTTGGAAAAAATGTTACCAGAAATACATTTAAAAAATATTACAAGCAATAAAAATCTTGTCGATATTAAATGACTCATAAGGAATTGATGTGCCGTAAAACAAAACGAAACCAAACCAAAACTGATTTTAGGGAGATATTTGTTATTTTATCTTTATTCCCTATAATAGGATAATGTCGTGCATAAAACCTTTGTCTACAAAGATATATATGGCCATCATTAAGTGAATAAATTTTTCTTCTTCTGTGTCGTGTCCCTTCAGGTCTTCGGCGATAATCGCTCTCCACTATTTCAAGTGCTTTCTGGCTCTTAGTAAATTTTGTCTTTTCGCTATCTCTTCTAATCTATGTTATGACAACCGTATATCCAAAGTCGTTTACTTTTTTTTTACGTTATATGTGACGGGTCCCTTCAGGACTTCGGCAATAATGACTTTTCACAATTCCCTGTCCTGTGTAGCTCTGGGTAAATTTGGTCTTTCCGCTATCTCTTCTAATATCTGTTATGAAAACCGTATGCACAAGTTAGTTTTCCTCCTTATATACGTTGTGTCCCTTCAGGACTTGGGACATAATGGCCATCAACAATTCCCTGTT